GAGAGGTAGCGGTTCATTCCAGACGTGCCCTTGAGTTATCTTTACTTTCAGTTTTGTTCTATTCGAGAACTATACTCTGAGACTTGTATATTTTTATTCGAATTCTGTATTTAGAGGTTTGTACATGTGACAGCCAAATTCTGGGTAGTGTTGAGTCTTAATTAAAGTCTTCCGCTTATTTATTATCTTTTATTCTCGTATTTCTACTTCTCTATCGTTGTGGTTGGGTTAGGCTGACGTGTCCGGTGGGAAATGGACACGTGCCATCACATCCGGATTTGGGGTGTGACAGCTGCAAATTTGGTGGGACTTTGGATGGGATTTTTCGAAGAAGCATCTGGAGTTGTATTAGCAACAAATGAAAATTTTCCAAATTTTTGTGCTTGGAGAGATGCGTATATTAATTGCTGTCAAGTCAAGGAATATCTACCTTCAAGAATTGATGAGTTGCTTGCTTTTTATCAAGATCGTGTTCGCTCTCAAGCTCCAACTTTTGCTACTCCTCAAAAATAAATCAATACTCATATAAGTTTTGGATTATGTATTGGAATAAGATTGTGATTCTAGTACGAATCTCGTAGGTTTCAATTATGTATAATAAGTGTGCAAATAAAGAAAAGAATTAAAATGTGTGTTTGTATAAAGCTCCAACTTTTGCTACTCCTCAAAAATAAATCAATACTCATATAAGTTTTGGATTATGTATTGGAATAAGATTGTGATTCTAGTACGAATCTCGTAGGTTTCAATTATGTATAATAAGTGTGCAAATAAAGAAAAGAGTTAAAATGTGTGTTTGTATAAGATTAAGAAAGTCCTAATAAAATTATTTGTTAGAAAAAGCTAGCTTAGCCAACTAGTAACATACCAATAAGTGTGTTGTGTTACTGTTCTTAATATGTTGATTGGTTAGTGATACTACAATAATTAATAATATCTTCTTCTTTTTTAAGCAAAATTTACCACTAAGCAAAGCGGCTTTTTATAAAAAAAATCATATCAATCACATCATGACTTATATGTGTAAGCCTCTATAAAATAAAAAAAATAAAATAAATAAATAAATAAATATATATAAAACTCATATAATTGTAGTACAAGTTCGGGGAAACAGTCCGTATTAATACGAGTCCAATACTATAAAAAATAAAAAAATTAATATATCTTAGTGAGTTGTATATACTCATCATAAAGGTAAAATCTTATTTGAGTGCCTACGTATAGTCAATAATTATATATTTAGGTTGTTTTTAGTTGATTTATATAAATTTGATAGTCTTCTTAATAAATTATTTATTATGAGTTTATTTTATTAAAATTAAGTTTTTAATTATGCTTTAAAATATAAATATTGCTATTAAAATCTTTTAGAGTTATTTAATGATAAATATAATATTATAAAAAATAATAAATTTCTATTGATTTATTTAAAAAATAAATTATTATGAATATGAAAGGCTAAATAATAAATTTTTATTTTATTATTTAACTATATTTAATTTATACAATTTGAAATATAAACATGGGTGTAGATAATACAATTGAAAAAATATATATGGAGGATAAGTAGAGTTATCATGATTAGTAAGGGCCTACCAATAAGTCACAACTCACAAGTCTGGTATGATATGTCAATTGGAAAATTCAATGAACCCTTCAAATTTTTGGCTAAAAATAAAGTAAAAAGAGAATCAATTCTTTTAATATTTTGACCACCCACATTTTATAAACAAAAGACGTTAATCAACAAACATTTAAATTGATAATGATTATCCTGGTTTCACGGGTTTGTGTTTTCAATCATTTCTATTTTAGAAAAAAAAAATATAATTCAAATTACTTTAATATGTTAAAAATAATATATTTCTTTTTTTTTTTTTAATATGGGCGGCGGTAATTTGATTTTAGAACCTTTGACTGTTCTGATATTATGTTGAAGTGTATCACCATCTTATCTAAAAGCTTAAGCACTTAGAAAGAACACATTTTTATTATTTAATTATACTCTCAATAATAACGCCACTTTTTGTTCGTTAGCTAAGCGCGTACTTTGGTCGTTCCATGTCTTTGAACAAACATGGACTAATTTAATAATCATTTGTCTTTCCAAGTCTTACACAACGTTTGGTCCTAGGTAAAGAATAAAATCTTACAAGATTTTTTTAAAAAAATAATAATAATAGGAACCTTCAACCACTCCCTCAATTTTCCCTTCTATAAAAGAAGAAAGAAGATCATAATTCAAGACATAACCACCACTAAAATATCCTTTAACATAGTAAATTAGCATAATAACCAAAGTTGTGATATGGCACAAGTGAAGTTGCTAGGTTTTTGGTATAGTCCATTTACTCACAGGGTTGAGTGGGCTCTAAAGATTAAGGGGGTAAAATATGAATATACAGAAATAGAGCAAGATAAAAAGAACCTTCCACGTCTTGAAGATTACCCTAGTTACAAGCAAGTCCCAGTGCTCATTGACAATGACAGGTCCATTTGTGGTTCTATGGTCATTCTTGAGTACATCGCCGAGAAATTTGGACGCACTTCCATTTTGCCTGATGATTTTTGTGACCGTGCTTTAGCTCGTTTTTGGGCTAACTTCCTTCATAATAAGGTAAATTTATCTTCATTCAATATATGAGTACATTTACTTTAGATCTTATTATATAGAAAATATAGATAGCTTGAAACACTTTTCATAATTTTGTATATAATAATATGGATTAATGAGAATTTATATAAATAGTCTACTCTAACTTACTTGAGATTGAGGCGTGGTACCATTGTACTTTGTGTAGATGGAAACGGTGAGGAATGCATTCTTAGGCAAAGGAAAGGTGCAAGAGAAATCTATAGTGGAAGTTTGTGAGATGTTGAAAATTCTTGGTGATAAGCTCGAAGGCAAAACGTTCTTTGTGGCTAACGAATTTGGATTTGCTGATATTGTTGCAAATATGGTTGGATTTTGGCTAGGAGTTTACCAAGAAGTCTCTGGAGTTGAATTAGTGACAGAGAAAAAATTTCCCATTTTTTGTGTTTGGAGAGATAAGTATGTTAATTGCAGTCAAGTCAAGAAATATCTACCTTCAAGAGATAAATTGATTGCTTTTTACCAAGCTTCCGCTCGCCCTCAAGCTGCAGCTTCTGCTTCTACTCAAGCATTGAGCATAGTTACAGGTCCTTAATGTTGCTCCACTTACTTGTACGTGTTCATCTTTTGAAGTTTCAAATTGTGTGTCTGAATAAAATTGTGAATCTAGATCGATTTCAATAGATTCAATTATGTATTCGTATGCAAAAGAAAAATATAAAATATTGTCCCACTTACTTGTATTTCTCACCGGTGTGGATCTTTATTTATTACTTATTAAAAAAATTGCCACTGCGCATACTGTTTAGTGGCACACGAAAAATTGAAAAAAAAATCATATAATTCTTGTAAAATGGCTCTTAAATGTCCAAACATATATTGGATCATGGTGAGGTTATACGTACTTCTCCCACAACTCCTTATGGTGCATCTTGTAAAAAACATTTTTAAAAAATCGACTAGAAGCCATTTCACCAACTATTTATGGGCTAACTCACACAAAAAATTGAAGAAATAGCCTAAAATAGCTTATAAATGCGCGAAAATTCCATAGATCATCCCTAACTCATTACGGAAGGTCTGATAATGTTTTTCAAAAAAATCGATCGTATGTCATTTTACCAAATATTCAGACTAACACACACGAAAAATTGAAAAAATCGTTTCATTCCAATAATATGGCTCCTAAATGCCCAAAAATAATGTGGATCATTGTGAGATTATACGTACTGATCAATCCCGTAAAATCGACTAACGCGTTGGGCGTCTCTAGTGTTCTACTCGTAAGGGAGGAATGCAGGAAAGTAAGGTCATCCCATGGCTTACGCAAATCAGTGAGGAAAATCCCCCAAAATTACGATGGCTTCACCCGACAATTTTATTTGAAATTAATATGAGCAACTAAGTAGACATTTGGGCCATATATTTCAAATATTTTTTATTTTATTTAAAATTTATAGAGTTAAAGTTGAAGATGGAGTTATGTTTGATTGTACTTTTTGCAAAAAAAAAAAAAACTAATCCTTTATTTAAGGTGCCTAGGGTTAATTTTTTAATTAATAAATAGAAACAAAAACCTCAAATAGAAGGCTAGATCTTATCTTACTAATCTTAATGAGGTAACAAATCTTTACTAATTAACAAGTATGAAGAAAATAAAAACTTGAGAAATGTATTCTATAATTATCACAGAACTTAAAATAAATTTTTGTGCTTGGAGAGATGAGTATATTAATCGCAGTCAAGTCAAGGAATATCTACCTCCAAGAAATGACGAGTTACTTGCTTTTTTTCAAGGTCGTGTTTGTGCTGCATGCTACAGCTTCTGCTTCTACTCAAAAATAAATATATCTTGATTTATCTTTTGAAATTTCGAATTACATGTGTCTAAATAAAATAGTGAATCTATAACAATTTTAATAGATCCAATCATGTATTAAAGAAAAGAATTAAAATATTAGCCATATTATATTATTTTGATCCCAACAATTGTATTGAAAAAAAAAAGAACAAGAGAAGTAAGCCATATAATTATTTGATGAATTAGGGAGTGACATATACAAGTCATCTAATTATTCTCGGGATTAAATTTTATTTACTATCGATATAAAGAAATGGAGATAATGGTTCAAAACATATCTAAAGTGTCATTATTTGTGAGTTTATATCTGAATTATCTTATGTTTGTATATTCTATCTGAAATATCACTAACTATTTATCAAAACACACCTCAACTAGTATCTGATGTTCCATAGTGTACACTCTCAACTCTTTATCTTATTTTGTGAAACACCGCTTATTTTTAATCAAAATAAAAAATATATAAACGCCACTTGTCAAGTACCAATATATAGTATTTATTTTAAGTCATCAGCCAAACTGAAAGCATTATTAAATTACAAAACTATATAGTAAAACAAGAAACATTAATGTATTGCTAAGGAACTTCCCTGTTTTTTCTCTATAAAAGAAGACTAGACCTCAAGAGAGAACAATCAAATAAAATTCCCCAAATTAGTAAAGCAAAAAAAAGTTAACCAAAGTTGAGAGAGATGGCAGATGTTAAGTTGCTTGGTCTATGGTATAGCTTTTTTGGTCATAGAGTTGAATGGGCTCTAAATATTAAGGGAGTCAAATATGAATTAATAGAAGAAGATCTACAAAATAAGAGCCCTTTACTTCTTCAATCTAATCCAATTCACAAGAAAATCCCAGTGTTAATTCACAATGGCAAGTCCATTTGTGAGTCTATGGTCATTGTTGAATACATCGATGAGACATTTGAAGGCCCTTCCATCTTGCCTAAAGATCCTTACGATCGTGCTTTAGCTCGTTTTTGGGCTAAGTTCCTTGATGATAAGGTAAATTCGTTATCATGTTATATATTGCTATCTGCATAATTTAGTAAACCTTTTTTTTAGACTTGCACAACGTTTGGTCCCATTTAAAGGCAAATAAACTGTAAGAAGAATTTTTTAAAAAAAAAAAAAACAAGAAAAATTAGGAACCTTCAACTACTCCCTCATTTAGTACTTTAATTTGTCACCACTAAAATATCCTTTAACATAGTAAATTAGCAAACAATTAGAACCAAAGTTGTAATATGGCACAAGTGAAGTTGCTAGGTTATTAATTAGTATAAGCCCATTTAATCTCAAAGTTAGAGTGGGCGGCTCTAAATATTAATTAAGGGAGTGAAATATGAATATATTGAAGAATATATAAATAATCTATTTTCTGACTTGCTTGAGATTGAGACATAGTAACTGTACTTTGTAGGTGGGAGCGGTGGTAAGTACTTTCATACGTAAAGGAGAGGAGCAAGAGAAAGGTAAAGAGGAAGCTTGTGAGATGTTGAAAGTTCTTGATAATGAGCTCAAAGACAAGAAGTTTTTTGTGGGTGACAAATTTGGATTTGCTGATATTGCTGCAAATTTGGTGGGATATTGGCTAGGAATTTTTCAAGAAGCCTCTGGAGTTAAACTAGTAACAAGTGAAAATTTTTCAAATTTTTGTGCTTGGAGAGATGAATATATCAATTGCAGTCAAGTTAAGGAATATCTACCTCCGAGAAATGATGAGTTGCTTGCTTTTTTCCAAGGTTGCGCTCGCGCTCATGCGACAGCTTCTGCTTCTACTCAAAAATAAATATAGTTGTATTCATCTTATAAAATTTCGAATTATGTATCGGAATAGAATTGCAAATCTAGAACGAATTCAATAGATTCAATTTTGTATTTGTATGCGAAAGATCGAAAATAATTAAAATATTTCCCTACTTGTGTTTCTCACCAATGAGGATTTTTATTTATTACAATATATAAATAGAAAAATTGCTACTAATAAGCACACTATTTGTTATGAACTAGACTTGTCCAATGTCAATATCTATAGGAATGTTACACAACTAGTTATTGGATCAAGAAAAAGCAACAAAACTGGAAGGCCTGATTTGGATCCAGGCCCAATTAACTACTAACTAAAAGGAGGATGGATGAGAAAGAGATTTATGCAAATTGTTGAGAAAAATGTTTAGTTCTCTCATCCCTTTCTTTGAGTCTATGCTTCTCATCTCTCTTCTAGTTATCTTCTACAATAGTTCTCTTTGTTAGTTCAATTTTTCGTTGTAACTTCGAGTTTAGTAATTATAATATTTGAACGTTTCTATTATGATATTGGAGTTGTTACACTATTTAATGGCATCTTCATTTTTTTTAGAAGTAGTGAATCTAGGATTCTGCATTTTCTACCTAATAAAAGTTTGAGTGTCTACTTGTACATATTCACAACTAGAATGCATAGATATCAGTTGAAGTCAAGTTAAAGAGTATATTTATATATTATGCCTTTTTTATATCATCTTCATGACTTGCAATTGTTAGTTTTCGCACAATATCATGTTATTTCGATCATGACAATTGTATTGAAGAAAAAAGAGTAATCCAAGTAATTTAATGAAATAATGAAATAGAGATATATAATGATCAAAAACGACATCTAAAGATTTTTCAATGAGCTAGTTTTATACCTAAATTATCTAATGTTTGTGTTAATCTGAAATATCATCAATTATTCATCAAAATACAACTCGACTAGTATCTGATAATCCATAGTGTACACTCTCTCAACTTATGTGAAACACCACTTATTTCGAAAGAAAGAAAAAACGCCACTTGTTATGATAGGAGTGGGAGTACCAATAGTATTTACAAAACTAAATAGTCAAACAAGAAACAATAATGTATTTGGTATATTATTGCTAAGAAACTTCCCTGTTTTTTCCCTCTATAAAAGAAGACTAGACCACAAGGGAGAATAACCACACCACAGAAAATTCCCTCAATTAGTATAGCAATCAAAATTGAAAGATGGCAGATGTGAACAAACGTCTTGTAAATCGTTGGTACTAATTTAGGTATATTTTAATTTTAAATTGCAGCTTTTAATTCCTTTTATATAATTTGTATTGAATTCAAACTATATGACATAATTTGTAAAAACATTTAAAAAATAATAACTCAAAACATATTAGACCTGGTCAAACACTATTTTCTATTTTTTTGTCAAATATATTTGGGAATATTTATGGCTAAACAACACCCAAGATGTATATAATTAAAGTTAAAAAAAAATATTTACTACTGATGTCACAATTTTTTTTGTAAAACATAATTAATTTGAAAACAATTTTTTTCACTTAATGTTCTCTTTGGTGGAATTTGTAGTCTTTTTATAATTGACTATAAAATCATCAATAATTAATGTCATTACTTGTTTTCAATATATTGGAAACATGATGAAAGAATATAGAGTTCCCAAGAATATATTCTCAATTTTTAAGTTAAAGGGGTAAAAATGTTTTAAAAGAAATTAGTTTGTAGTGTGGATAGATCCTTTTACCATTCTGATCAAATTATGGCCAAAATTTTCTGGCCAAAAGATTTTTCATTATTTTAAATGGGTAATGCTAAATGGCCAGAAAATTTAAAAGTCTATACTATCCTTTTTATTTTAAAATAAATTGATCTTTTTTTCATTTTTTTAATTAAAAAATATTAAAATTAAAAGGGTAAAAATGTTCAAAAACGTAAAATAAAATAGTGTGAAATATGTTAGTTTACCATTCTGGCCAAAAGGATTTTTCCATTTTAAATTACAAAACAAAATAGTCAAACAAGAAACATTAATGTATTTGGTGTATTGCTAAGAAATTTCATCTATAAAAGAAGATTAGACCTCAAGAGAAAACAACCACATAAAATATAGGAAAGTTGAGAGATGGTAGATGTAAAGTTGCTTGGTCTATGGTATAGCCCTGCTAGTCACAAAGTCGAGTGGGCTCTCAAATTAAAAGGAGTGAAGTATGAATTTATAGAAGAAAATCTACAAAACAAGAGCCCTCTACTTCTTGAATCCAATCCTGTTCACAAAAAGATCCCTGTTCTCATTCACAATGGCAAGCCCATTTGTGAGTCTATGATCATCCTTGAATACATCGACGAGACATTTGAAGGCCCTTCCATCTTACCTAAAGACCCTTATGAACGAGCTTTAGCTCGTTTTTGGGCTAAGTTCCTTAATGATAAGGTAAATTTGTCTTAATGCTATATATAGACAGTACTTATTTGCATAATTTAGTCATGTTAGTATAATTACTTTAATAATACTTCTTATAATTTTGTATAGACGATTCTGACTTGCTTGAAATTGAAACGTAGTATTTATCATGATTGTTGTAGGTGGGAGCAGCTGTGAATACTTTTCTCCACAAAGGAGAGGAGCAAGAGAAAGGTAAAGAGGAAGTTTTTGAGATGTTGAAAATTCTTGATAATGAGTTAAAGGATAAAAAGTTCTTTGTGGGTGACAAATTTGGTTATGCTGATATTGCTGCAAATTTTGTGGGATATTGGCTAGGAGTTTTTCAAGAAGCCTCTGGAGTTGAATTAGTAACAAGTGAAAATTTTCCAAATTTTTGTGCTTGGAGAGATGAGTATGTTAATTGCAGTCAAGTCAAGGAATATCTGCCTCCAAGAAATGATTTGCTTGCTTTTATCCAAGCTTATGCTCAAGCTTCTGCTTCTAAAACATAAACACGTCCTCATTCATCTTATGAAGCTTCGAATTATGTAACGGAATAAATTTATAAGCATATGTGTCACTTTTATAATGAATGGTATATCACTTAAGTATCTTATTGTTCTCCAGATTAAATTGCATTCATTGTTACTATATAGAACTATATATTTAAACTATCAAATATTGCATATCTACTGGTAAGCCTTTATTAATGAAGGCGTAATACATAAATATGTTTTTTAATTTGGCTTTATTTGATATTTATGTCCTTTAATTTTGTGTGTACACAAGTAGACACCTGATTTTGTATAGAGTTTAACAAGTAGGCACACACATTCTACTTTGGCGTCCTGCATGGCAATTCACTCTTTATACACATTCTATGTGGCGTTCTATCTATATCTACTATATTATAAAAGAAAGTTTAGGCCCAAATATAATATATAATATTCAAGATTGAGACGTAGTATAAAATATAAGACGTTGTGTATAATTGTTCAACTTTAAACAAGTTTTTAAGTTCTTGTTTGTGTACATTTAAAGGGTATTATGCCATTAATGAAGTTTGTCTACTTTTCTACTTTGACTATTATTAAAGATAACCAAGTGCTTACTTACATGGTTGGAAATTAAATACTCATAAATTCCAATAAATGATCTGACAAAGATGGATGAAAGCAAGAAACAGTAATTTGACTATGTATTACTCCCCTATCCCTAATTATTTGTCCATCATTTTTGAAGTGACACACCTATTAAGAAAACAATAATTGATATAGTAAGTTTACTATTTTACCTCTATAAATTATGAAGTAGATGAATTAAAAATTTAAGATTTTCAAAAAGTTTTACATTTTTCAAAGTATTAAATTGAGGGTATAATAGAGAAATTTTTTTGTCCTTTCTTGATTTGTCAAAATGGATAAGTAATTAGGGACAACTAAAAAAAGGAAAAGTGGACAAGTAAGTAGGAACAAAAGGAGTACTTTGGGATTCGTTTGAAAGAGTGTACTCCCTCCATTCCATATTAAGTTAATTTTTGAGGTATTTCACACCCTTCAAGAAAAGTAGATTAAGACATAAATTGAACCTAATTTTCCATTTCACCCTTATTAATTATTATCAATTTTATGATTAAAATAACTAAATATTAATTAATCACTAATTCCAATACTAACTAATGAAGGATAAAATTGGAAGAACACTCTAAAAATACTCTTGAAAACTGAACAATTAAGTTAATTTGAAAAATGAAAAATGCCTCAAAAATTAACTTAATATGGAACGGAGGGAGTATTAAGGATATATAGTACCGAGTACCGACTATAATGTATTTTCTAGTTAATATAACATTCCAAGCTTATGGTTGTAGGACGGACTATGCAACTTGTGCTGCGAATACATATATGTCTTATATATTGTACTATACATACAGTGACATATACATCACATGTGTATACATACAACAACATACAATTATGTATATTAGTATATATTGTGTGTATCTTACATGTATATCAATGTATACGACTCCACATCATATGTATGTCAATTATATACATTGACATATGCATGACATACAAGCTATACATGGACAAATGAAATTGTGCAAGTCATGAGAGAGAATCTTTCACTTAAGGATTAGCTAGATTTGCAATAGATTTCAGTTGGGCCTCTTATCTTGTTAAGAGTTCTAAATGGACAAAGCCCAAATTGACCTATGTGGTCCAAGTTACATAATGTCAAATCTTTAATGCTATTGACTTAAAATTCATTCTAGATTCAATTTGATGTTTAGTCACATTTAAGTCTAATAAAAAGTACTAATAATAAACTATTTTTATCTAAATCTTCACTTGGATGGAATAATAACACTTGCTATTGAGTGTGAACGCAAATGTTAGTTTTCCAACAAAAACATATATCTATGCCAAATGTTTTACCAAGTATTTTTGAAGAAAAAAATTAAATGATTTGAATTTTGAATGTTCTACAAGAAAAAAGAAGTGCATATTTATTACATTCTACATTGGTAAAATTTTGGAGGGATCCTATTCAAATACAAAGGTACGTTATAAAGTGATGAGTATCTTTACCTTTACATAAAATAAATTTGTCTTTAACCTATGGTAGGTCATAACTTTACTTAACGGTCAGAAGTATGAATTGTAGTAGTTCAAATTCAACTATCAACTTTTCCATTCATATGAATAACAAACAATATAATTATATATCATGTATATCTATAGCCGTTGAGAGGAGTATTGATTTTTGCTTGTGGTTCGATATTCATAATATGATTCGATTAAATTTGAATTCATGCTAGAAAATCCTATATTGATAGGATAAAATGTTCTCTAATAAAGACGAGTAGAACGATTATTCTTTTTTATATAACTTAATCTTTTGTTATTTTCTGTTGGAACAACTAGCACTATCATCAAATAAGTATTCATTGGCATGGAGAACTTTAAATCCTTGCAAGAAAGCTACAAAATAAAGTTAAGCAAAAACTAAATACAAATTAAATGGCAAAATTAGATATATGATGTTAAGAAATATATATTTCTTATATACTATGATTATATGTGGCCCAAATCGTAAATTGCATCATTTTCAATAATGGCATCTTTAGTTGTATTTAATTAACCTCAATAATTTAAATTGGCATCTATATTGATCTTAGAATGATGGTCTCAAATTTAAATATACTTTTTTTTCTTCAAAATAACACATTGGTGAAAAGGTTATAATCTAACTCTAACCATATGCTATTAGGGAGTAGTTGATTCCTTTTTCTTCTTTTTTTTCACAAATTTACTAAACAGTGTCTTGTGGTGTTTTATTAAAAATAAAAAATAAAAACTCACGGATAAGTACAAGGAAGGAAGGCTAAGCCTTACCTTACCAAATCCTAATAAAGTACTTATTTATCTTATTTATTATGGAATCTAAAGATAAGTACTTAAATTGTTTATTTCTTAAAAGAACCAATTAAATTGTAAATAAACCCTTCTAAAAATGAGAGAAGTACTTTATTTTTTTATTTTTTTTAAAAGAACCAATTAAACAGTAAATAAAAACTTCTAAAAAATAGAAATTATCTACGGACAAATTAGTTTATCTAAAAAATAAAATCGTCCTAATCATGTTTAGTGATAAATTATTAGCTACGAGTGATTCAGTAATAAATTAGCAATGAAGTTCTATAGCTAATTTCAGTTTTATTTTTTTGTGAAAGACAAAAATATTTGTTTCTTATTAACATGGTATGTTTCTTCTTTTATTTTATTACACTCTTTTTTACTTGTTAAAAAATATCTGAAGTAATTTAATTTTAATTATTGTGCTAAAAATATATATTTCTTAAAACGACGTGTTCAATCAAATAAAATAAAATGAAAAGAGTAATAATAGCTTTCAACTTCAAAGTTTTTGCCCTACCAACTAAAACAAACAAAATACGGGCACATGGATTAATAAACAAACAAAATTATATCTTATAATTAATTTTTCCCTTGTTATTTAATGACGAGGACGACAATGAAATGTTCTTACAAAGAATTATGAAAAAGGGAGCTTTTTTAAAGGGAAATTATAGCTTGATTTATGTTAAGTTTAAATCAAGTTGTAAACCTAATCTAATACAGGCAAAAGAGATTATCAAAAAAAAAATCTTTTTATTTCAATAATTTCACGAAGTTTATATACTTGGTTGAATTTATATAAAATTTATTAGTAACTAACCATTTCATTAATCACCATGTATTGTATAGTAAATCTCAAATCAATTAACTCTAAACAATTAGTTATTTGCTTAATGGATGGTCGTTACATATTAGTATATCTCATTGCGTTGTATTGTATCGTATTATATTATTTTGATGAATATAACGTTTGAATATATTGTATCATTTTTCGTTGTCACATAATTTGAAGGATAATTTTACAAGAAAAATAGGATTCAGAGTCGAACTACTATAAAAGGGGTAAGGTAAAGGATAACATAGAATTATTAGATATTAAGTAAAGACAAAATGAAAAAAAATACTAATAATATGACAACACAATCATACTAAATGGATCGCTACATAAAAATGAAACTTTTCATCATTATATAGCAATGATTTAATGATATTACAATAAACTTATGTAAATAATATATTTAAATTAACAACAAAATAGGTAACAACCATCCAAACAAGTTGTAAATGGTGGATCCAAATTTTAGGTATATTTTAATTTTAAATTACAGCTTTAAATTTCTTTAGTATTGAATACAAACTATATTATATGACATAATCTGTCAGTTTCAATATTTTTGTCCTACCTGCAGAAACAAACAAAATACAGGTACATAGATTCTAAATAATATCCATCACTGACAGACCTTTAATTTGTAACAAAAATTAAAAGAAAAGTGAAAAAAAAAATGACATTAGTAGATTCAGTGTAAGCCAAGTTTAAACCTTATTAACAAAAAAAATATAATAATGACAAAATTACACTTTAATCTTTTTATTTAATATAATAATTCCTCTTGTAACTTTATTTTTCAACTAACCGAAAATTGAAAAGTATAAAACTAAACTGCCCAAATAAGATTTTGAATTAGCTAAAAGCACCTGAAGGATTTATAATATATTAAAATGATCCATATTAATAGTCAACTATAGTTGTTGATGAAGATGTTTAATCTTAAAAAATATGTCATTTTCAAAATAATAATAATTAATCCTTGCGTAATCAAACATTAATAGATATAATTTAAACTATTTACATATACATGTGAAATGAATTTGAAAAATATATCAAATTTATATACAGGTGAAATGAATTAACTAAATGCTTGCATGTTGCATGCAAAAATATCAAATCTAATTTTCAAATAAGTCTAAATTTTGGCAAACACTTTTCCCTTGTAAGCTATTTAAGTTATCTTACTTTGATATATAGAGATAATCTTTTCAATATCAATGCTCTCCGTGAAACAATTATAGTCTTACCTAAGCTATTTCTTTTGTACTTTAAGATATCAAAATAGTTTTAAAATATAATCTTCACGTCTTAGGAGCAACATATCTAGTTCTCAAATAAGTTAATCTTACCCGAAGCTCTTACTTTAC